TTTCACAATACTTTTTTTACTATTTTAAATTATGAAATATAAAAATTTAATTTTTTTGTCTCACAACACTTTTTCTCTAAATCTTAAAAACTTATTCATATTTTTTATTTGTTTCTTTTCTAATCCTCTTTATAACTATTAGTTTGTATTGAATAATTTCACATTTGTACATATAAATTCACATCAATACTTGATTATGTCATGTCAAAACTATTATTACATTATTAGTGAAATACCACATTATCATTATAATGTCATCAAATTCAATGTCATATTAATAAGAAAATGTTACATCAATATAATTAAACATCATATCAGCATAGATAAGAAAAAAATTTTAACACATTAAACTAAAATTGTCAAGTTTGAAAAGTACAAAAACTCAATTTTTTACAAATTATTGTGTAAAGACTAAATCCATCATTTTGATAGAATATAGAGACTAATTGCATAATTTGACCAAACTTAAAACAATTTCATTTTTTCTTTAATTATTTTAAGATTTATATTTGATACATGGTATATAAATTCTATACATTATCAATGAATAATAAGCGGACACTTCATTAATGAATAAAATTACAAGTTTTGAGATCCTTAAAAATAAACATTTATAAAGTTTAAATAAGTTAAATTAGATTAAACAAAATAATGAATATATTACTTTTCAGCCATTTAAATGATAAATAAAAACCCAAAAAATTTGAAAATGTATTCATTGAAAGAATTTCTTGCTTTGGTTTCAAACCAATCACTCCAATCACCATGAACATAACAAGTAGGAAGAGGCCTCACGCCTTTGTCGCACCCTCCCCAACATTAATAGTCTCTGGTGACAATGAAATCCTCTTGAATTAACAGTCAAAAACTTCAATTGATGTTATAGGTTTTGTATCCATTAAAACTTTTAACATATTATGTCAATTCTCCATGCCCAAGCAGGCAGCCATTTTATTTTGATTATTAAAAATTTAAAGGGTGACAAGGAGTTGGAGAGGGATAAATTATTTCTTATTCTACCTTTAAAAAAGTGAAAAAAGAGTAAAAAAAATTTTGAGAATGTAAAATGGCAGTGTCATTGCATAATATTGTTAGTGTATCAAATACAAACCCTTATTTTTATTATTAATTAAAACTATGTTTTTCATGTTGTATTTGGCAATATCATCCTTGCACTTAAGATTGATTCCAACTTATTCAAGTTCAAGGGGCGGCTTCATCATACATGCATGAAGCAGAGAGAAAATAAGGGGATATTCCCAATGGTAATTAGGAACTCATCTCAAAATGCTACGAGCTTTTCTTTTCTTTCTTTTTCGTTTCTGGGGTGGGACTTGGTAGTGGGGGGATGGTGGTCCCAGGGGACCAAATGAAGTCCTACGAACCCAGCAGGAACCTGTCCTAATTAAGTAGTAACACAATTGCAGAAAGTGGCTGGCGCCTGGTGCTCTTTTCAGATGAACTGTTATATAGCAATTGGCAGATGAATCTGGAAATCGAACACCTACACGTGGAGATAACGTTGCACGTTGTTCAAACCAAACGTTGAGCTTTGATTGGTTGATCTTTCACTAATCCCGGAGAAAAGTGGCTGATACGCCATTTTCGGTAGATGCGAAAGTAAGCACAGAATACTATAAACATAATGGATCAAGGGAATGGGGTTGATCAACTCCTTTATAAAAGGAATCAACTCTACGCTTGTGCTCTGTCTGTAATTTATTGGTTTGGGATAAGACCCCCTTCCTTAATGGGGGAATCATTTTGGACTTGTAGTCTCCCTACAAATATGTAGGATATGCTGTTTCTGTTGCAAGCAACTGAAGTTCAGAAGCTCAAAGGAATAGAAAAGATGGAGCAAAGTTTTAAGGTTCCAACGGAGGCTAAAGCAGTGAAGTTGGTGGTAGCAATGATGATGGGGCTCTTGGTTTTGGGTCCAAATCTCGTGGAGGGTGCATTTGCGATCCAGCTCAATCCCTGCACACTCCCTCAGTGTATCGCTGAATGCAAAAAGGCCCAGCAGGACAAATTCCTTAGTGCCACCTGTGCTTCAGGGTCTCAAGGGAAATTCTGCATCTGCTTAGGTTGACAAACTTAATATCAGATGGGAAACGTTCACATCTCTGTGCTGCTAAAAACTACTTTCCAATTGTTCTACTATAATATATGTAGTAAAATAAAGGAGAGAACTTCGTAGCACAGTTCATGTACCTGCACTTCCTTGTGCTTTCTACAAATAGTTATGGAAATGACTTTATAACATTTATGGATTTGGGTGCATGGACACATTCAACATGTTCCCCGCTACAAGTAAACAGAAAAAATGTGCCAATCTTTTAAGTGTTTCTGTGAGATAAGGCGTGCATGAGGCAAGCTACCTTTTCTGGTTCCTAATTCCATTGCATATATCTGAGGAAAAAAAAACATAAATAAATAATTCCATTGACTATACTGCAATTACCTGCCGCATGAACTCAAACAGGCACTTTATGAATTATGACTCTGTCTATGGGTGATACGTACTCTGCATGTAACTCATAAATTGGTAGTTACTTAAATACCCATCATTTTCTTTTTGGGTTATAAGATTCAGGCTTCAACAAAGTTAGATAAAGTTAAGCTCGGCGTCGCTAAAATATTGGGCAGGCCCAGCAAAGGTTAACCCGTTGAACTGTAGATCAAAATCTGATCAGCTGGATCTTGTATAGAATGTGGGGTAATTTTAAGTAAGTGAACCTTGTACAGATTACAGAAGTCAGAACAGATGGATTTGTGAACTGAGAGGGAACTTTTTTAGCCAAATATAATTTAATTTGTGAATATTATATACAATTTAAGCTTATCTCTTACAAGCTTGGTCAGGTAACAGTGGTACCGGACAGTCTTAATAACAGAGCAGCTTCCTCCATTAACTGTTTGAAACGGACGTAACATTACAAAAAAAATTTGAAAACATTAGATAAACATATTCACATACGTAAGGTAAGTAACAGATGCTTGTTCCCCATTTGTTTTTTTCTTTTAGTTAATTATATATTTGTGTGTGTATATATATATATTATAATTGAAAAAAAAAATTTAAATCTTACTCTTTAAATAAAAAGATAATATACCAACTAATGAATTAAATGCTTGAATGATTATATACTTAAATATATGTTTTCATCTTATTCCATTTTCTGTTGAAAGGAATGACTTAAGAAACATCCATGTACGATGCGATAGAGGATAGGCTAACAAATCCTGTTTGCAAAACAAAAGATTCTGAAAACCCTCCAATCCTCTCAATGTTTGTCTGTTAAAATGTGACAATAGAATAACAACGAGCCCGACACATTTGAACCCAAAGCTGCCAGTCGTGATGTTTATTAATGCTGCAGCCAAAATCCAAGCAAACACCAAAAGGCCATCTTTAGTGCAAACAGAAGATGCTGTCCAGAGTTTGAGCACTCAAAAGTAAACGGGGCAAATTAAACCACCCATGTCAATGTCAACTTCTAAAAGAGTATGACGATAGCCACCAAGGGTCCGCTCTTTATTCTCAAGGACGATCAAGTACATCTACTGCTGTGGTCTCCAAAATGGCCATTCCAAAGTCTTGTATGAGTTTGCATCTATTAATTTCTCCCCCTCCAAAACCAAGACCAGTCTAGCTCCTCTTTTGCTTTGTGAGCTAGATTCCTGAGTGATAGACAATTGGATAATGAACTGCTGATTTTATGGTCGGAAACATGCTTGGTATATGTTTATTGTTTGTAGCAGCAACATAAATGTTGTTGCCCAAATTGGTGGTATGCATGCCAAATCTCATAAAGCCAGCAGCAGCTTAGCTCGCCTGCTGCCCAATGTTATCATCGTGTTATTGCCTTGTCAACTAAATTATAATTTGTTTTGTTTTAAGCAAAGAAATTGTAAGCAATGAATTACGACGCATGACAATCGACTGCAACCTCTTCTCAAGAGTTAACTAAAAAGGCCGCAAATATGATATGGATACGAAATAGGATTTGTTGCTGTACTAATTGTTGGGCTTGTATGTATCATGTAGATAAGATCCATGTAAACATCTTTAGAAGCGAAATTTCTCAAGAAAGTTCCAGTTGGTATTATTACTTTTTCCGGAAGGTAACCAGTTTGACGAGATTTTTCTTGTTTTCTTCCAAGTTACTCCAAGTATCTTGTATCCTACCAAATGGAAATAGGCTCCAACATTGATGATTTGTCCTTAGTACAAGTACTATAATGTAGCTTTCGCTGCTTAGATGTTGCCACGTTTATTGTCTCTCAGTCACTGTTGTTGCTTTCAGGGTTTATCCTTGAAAGCAAATTGAGTTTATTGGTCTAAATTTCAGCTGGCTTGTATCTAAATTAACCAACCCAACATTCTCTTTTGCTTTCTACATGGTCTCACCTTAAAACCTCCTATCCGATTAACGGCCTTATCCACTTTTAGAAGTGGCATTTAGGTAATCTCCCAAGTATTATCCAACCAATCTAACCATCAGCAGTTGCACCTTTCTTTTCAATTCAATAAAAGCAATAACTTGGTCTTCATACATGCTCACCTATTACATTTTTTAACTTTCATAAAAGATAAGTAAAGATTTAATTTGTTAAGTTCAAGTTTATTACTGTTAACCAGTTGCCGTCGTGAATAACGTCCGGCGACGACAGCACATGGCACGTGACAATTGCGATGAATGATGCGACGTAATTCCTCTCATTGTCACGTGGACTGAGCCTTCCCGCGCACGGTACGGACTCTCATTCGACGAAAAAGTTGGTGGCTATTTTCATTTCACCCAAAGAATAAGATTAGAGGGAGAGAGAGAGAGGGGGGGGGGGGAAGGCAGCTCCTTCTTGATTATCCCAAGTAACGTCTTTAACTGTTACCTTAGCCAATCACCAGCTGACACGTTGACACACGCCCTTTGTACGTTAGCTTCTTGGCAAATTAAGCGGCTCCTCTGTTTCGGTTTATAAACGCCTGGCCTGGGAACTTCACTCTGTTTTTCTTCACACGCTCTCCCTTTCTCCCCAGTGTAATTTATTTCTGTTTCTTCTTTACCCTTTTATTCTTCGTTTTGGAGGTTTTAAGAACACAAAGAGAAAATGGATGATGAATTCGCGAAGCTTATTAGGAGAATCAACCCACCAAGGTATTTAAATGAGATATGGAGTTCCATATCCTTTCTTGGTTGTGTTTTGGAGAAAGAATTCAACTTTTATTTATTTTTTCTCTCTTTTTTTTCCTTTCCACATGTGTTGAGTTGAGTTTCATGTTTGCAGAGTTGCTGTTGACAATGATGCTTGTGAGCATGCTACCGTTATACAGGTAAAAGCTTTTCTCATTTCCCAATTTAAATATGCAGTTTCTGAGACAATAAACCTGAAAGTTGATTTTGTGCTGCCTGGAAGCCTACCTGAATTTTTTTTTTCTTCACTCTTTTCTTACTTTTAGGTTGATAGTGTCAATAGACATGGTATTCTCCTTGAAGTTGTCCAGGTTCTTGCGGACCTGAACCTTGTTGTAACAAAAGCATATATATCATCTGATGCAGGATGGTTTATGGACGGTATGTTTCAAAATGTATATCTAAAGTCTTGTTATTATATTTTCCATTAAGTGTTCTAATTGTATCAAACTTGTTTTTTTCAGTGTTCTATGTTACAGATTATGAAGGAAACAAAATTAGAGATGGAAGGACCCTCAGTTATATACAGAAGGTAAGCGATTACAGAAAGTATGATCCCTGCTAATAGTATTCTGACAAGTTTTCATATTCTTTTCGAATTCGCTATGAAGGACTACCTGATTTTTTTTTTCACAATTCTCGTTTTTTCAATTCTGCAGACTCTTGAAACGAAAGTCTATTTCTTAAATTCATTAGGGAGCTCTGTTGGGGTAATTCCTTCTAAAGAGCATACTTCAATAGAACTAACAGGCAGTGACAGGCCAGGGCTTGTATCAGAGGTCTCTGCAGTCCTAGCAGACCTAGGGTGCAATGTGGTCAACGCTGAGATTTGGACGCATAATGCTAGGGCTGCAGCCGTTATCTATGTCACAGACCAGTCAACAGGGCATGCAATTGAAGACCCGAAAAAACTTTCAATGATCAAGGAACTTCTCTTAAATGTCATGAAGGGCAACAGTGATTTTAGGACGCCAAGAATGTCTATTTCCTCTTCCGGGGTAATGCACAGGGCGAGAAGATTGCATCAGATGCTGTTTGCTGATAGGGATTTTGAGAGGCCTGAGAATGTCAAGTTTGAAAGTGCAAAACCCCATGTAACTGTGCAGGATTGCAGTGATAGAGACTATACAGTTGCAACCATAAGGTCCCTGGATCGACCAAAGCTATTGTTCGACACTATTTGCACTCTCACAGACATGGAATATGTGGTTTTCCATGGAACAGTCATCACAGGAAGAATGGAAGCCTATCAGGTTCGAAAGCACAATTAACAAATCAAAGGTTATCATGAAATCTGGAGTGAATTTAAATGATCTCAAAAAACTAATAGAGCAAAACACTTATTGTAGGAATACTATATCAGGCATGTTGATGGATTCCCTATAAGCTCAGAAGCTGAGCAACAACGAGTTGTAGAGTGTCTTGAAGCAGCCATAGAGAGGCGAGCTTCAGAGGTGTTTTT